AAAAAAAAAAAAAAAAAAGAAAGAAAGAAAAATATAAGGATATAGAGCCTCACATTTAGAGGGAAAGGTGATACCCAAGGATTTGGACAGGACCCTGCTCAGGAAGCATGGACTCTGTGCAGGAGAGAAAAAGGCCCAGGAGCCCTAATCAGTGCTAGGCCTTGGTTTTCCCGCCTGCGGAATGGAGCAGTGCCTTCCTGCCTTTGGAAGTGACACGGTGCCCCTTGCCTCTGCAGACAGTGGGCGAGTCTCTGCTCTACATGCTGGAGAAGTGTCTGGGTCCTGCCTTCACACCAGCCACTCGGGCCGCCTGGAGCCAGCTCTACGGGGCCGTGGTGCAGGCCATGAGTCGAGGCTGGGACGGCGAGTAAGAGGCGACCCTGCTCGGCAGCCGCCATCTGTCTGTCTGTGGTCTGTACTGTTGTAGCCCAGGCTTCCCAAGCTTCCATGCGTCTTGGTCCTTGTCTCCTTTGCCACACTGGAGAGGTGACACTGGGGCAGGGCTGGGTCTCAGCTCTCAGAGCCCAACTGCAGGAGTGGCCTTTCCTCCAGGAAGGGGCTTCTGGGTGTCCTGTCATCCCCAATAGCGTCTTTCCTGCCTTTCTTTTTACCTTTTTGGCACCCCCTCTGGCCCCATGAGGAGTGTTTTGGTGGCAGACGTGGGATGGAGCTGGGAAGGTATGGGGCTGGGAGGGAATGGGGCTCTTCTGTCTGTCCTGCTTCTTCAGGAGCACAGGCCAAGGTGGGGGTGAGATGGCTGAGCTTCCAGCACCTTCCATCCCGCCTGCCCAGCTCCTCCACTGCTCTCCTGCCCCAGGGCATCTTGCTTTCACAAATAGAGAAAGAGCAGCTTAAGCCTTTTTGGTGGAATCCCAGGCAGTGGGAGCTGAATCAGTACCACCAGGGAAGGGAAGGGGGCCTGGGTCTCAATGGGGCTCACCTGAGTCCCGAGGGCTGTGCAGATGCTCTGACAGTCAGTGTCCCTCTGCGGCATTCCCTTCCCCTCATTCAGCACTTCTGAGGGAGCTCCCGGACTATTCTGCAGCTGTGGGGACCCAGCTAGCGGGCCAGGTGGGGTGGGGCTGGGGACCGGCCAGGAAGGAGGGGCGTCTTCATCCCAGAGAAACCCAAGTTCCCCCAGCCCTTCATCACCAACCCAGCCCTGCAGGAGTGAGTCTTACCACCCTCGGCCCTCCTTTCTGCCCCAGCCTGCAGCAACGGGGAGACCACAGCGCCTCAGATTCACTGCCCGCTGTGTGCCTGTACTCAGGCAGCTGGAGGGAAGAGAAGGCAGCCGCAGAGGCCCCCGCCCTCACCCCAGCTGTCCGCACTTTAACCGTTTGCTCTGTGCTGTGGTCTATAAACTCATGAGAAATAAACTGGTTCTGTGTGCCTCTCTGACCCTCGGCCTGGTCTTTTCTTGGGTCTCGGCCTGCGCCGGATGAAGCTGCAGGGGAGCAGATCTCAGAGCAGGATGGGAGGATGGGGTCAGGGAGGCCAAGGCCAGAGTGGGTGGAATAGGAGGGGGAGGCCTGGGAGGAGGCGATGGAAAGCCAGTGGCAGAGAGGGAGCTAGGGGTCTGTGGCCCAAACTGGCTGGCAGGCCACAAACCCCATTCCTCTTCCTCCTGGGCTCACAGCTGGATGTCCAGCAGACACCCTTGCACTTAGGTGGGGCGTGTGGCTGGGCTGTGGCTGCTGGACCATGCAGATGTGTGTGCCACTCCCAGGCCTGGTCCCCTAAAACTCCTGCATGCCTCTCCATGCTCTGTCATCCTTCTGCTGGCTTGATGCAGACCTCACAGAGACCATGAGGGCCACGTGTTGAACATGGCAGAGCCACCGGTGAAAGGAGTCCCGACGCTGAATCACTGCTCGGAGGAAGGTGAGCATTAAACAGAATCACCCATTTTGAATTTTACAAGGAAGAGACAAGCCTCTCTTGTGTTTATGCCATTATACATTTTTGGGTTAAACCCACACCTACACGAATCTATGGTCTGAAGCAGGTCATTGGTCAGCGGTTTGGGAACCCACAGGCTGGTGGGCTAGAAAGCCAGCCATGGATGTGGGGGAGGGGAAGCTGCGTTAAGTGGGCATGGAGTCTTGCTCTTGTTGCCCAGGCTGGAGTGCAGTGACATAATCTTGGCTCACCACAACTTCTGCCTCCTGGTTCAAGCGATTCTCCTGCCTCAGCCTCCTGAGTAGCTGGAATTACAGGCATGCACCACCACACGAGCTAATTTTTTGTATTTTTAGTAGAGATGGGGTTTCTTCATGTTGGTCAGGATGGTCTTGAGCTCCCCACCTCAGGTGATCTGCCTGCCTCAGCTTCCCGAAGTGCTGGGATTACAGGTGTGAGCCACTACGTCCTGCTGCTAAAGGGTGTTTGTTATCCCACCTGGCCACCCCACACGCTTCCCAGTGCCAATCTATCCTCTGCCTTCCCCATCCCCCAAGCCCCCCACCGCATCCGCTTGCAGATCTGGGCCCTGTCTGCCACTCATTCTGGGGCCTCACCTGAAATCTGTGTGTTTTGAAGTCTGGCCACTAGCCTAGGCCAGAGGCCTGTTCATGGGGCTCTGCACTCACCAGGGACTTCTGCGGCCCCTCGGGGCTGCCCTGCTGGCTTCCCGGTAGCTCAAGGACCAGAAAGTTCTCTCTTCCTGCACAGTGGAGCAAGGCCAGGCTGGCTCAGAGGCAGAGGCAGAGACAGGGGCCGGTAGAGATTGGGAGGACTCGTTTATTCAAGGCACGGTCATAGCATTAACAAGAAGGTTCAGCATTCTGGCACATTCCTTTAGTGGTGGTGGCCAAGGTTAGCCCACACTCCCCACCGGGGGCCCCAGAGGACGCAACGCTGCTGACAGGCACTTTGCTTCCAGGGGCAGCGGAGGGTCAGGCAGGCGGGCGCGGGGCCACTGGGGCCCCTCCTGGAGGCTCTAGGCAGTACTGGTTCCTGGGCGGCAGCTCCTTCTAGAAGATTAAGTCTGGGGCATGATTTGGTGGATGGAATGGGGTGGGCCACCTGGGAAGTGGCTGGTGGAGGAATGGGATGGCCGTAGGTGGGGGGGCAATGGGCCAGGCGGGTGTGGGAGAGGCAGGAGGTGCCTGAGAGGGCCTGCACGTGGTCGGGGGGAGGCTAAAAGATGTCCCCCCCATCACCCTGCAGCGACTGTGGGAAGTCCAGATGGAGCCAGCTGCTGCGGGGCTTTGCTGGTTCCCCTAAGAGTGGACTCTGGAACCCTCCCCAAATTCTCACCACCTTCTCTCAGAGCCAGGGTGCACGGGACCCATGTTCAGACAGAAGCCCCGGCCATCCTGCCATCGTGTCTGCTAGGACCTTTTCCATATGTGGCTTCCACAGTCCGGCAGGGGCTGCAGGGACTAGGGGCAGGTGCCAGGAAGCTGTGCCTAGTGAAGCAGAGGCCCCAGACCAGCTTCTGGCAGGACTGCCACCTCCCCACCACGTGCCAAGCTCCTGCTGGGCCTGACCGCTCTGCTGGGAGCATCCTTTCTCCTTGTTTGTTGGTGAAATTCCAGGGGGAAGGGGTCTTGTGGGGCCTGGGTGTGTAGGGGCCAGGCTAGGTAGCATTTCCCCCTTATTCCTAGCTGGACAAGGAATGGACAAGACAGTCTCTCCCCAACAGACCCAAGCTCTAGGAGAGATTCCCCCACGCCGAAATGTGGGCCGTGTCCTGGGGGTACGGCAGTTTCTGCCCATTGAGCACGGTTTCTCACCTGTGGTGAAGCTTCGAGCTTCTGGGGCTAGGGTGGGGCAAAGGTGGGGTAGGAACAGGGCCTACGTGGTCTGAGTTCAGGGCAGCCATGTGCCTGGGCCTGGCGGAGGCGCTCAGGTGAGGTGAGCCTGGGGCCAACCTTCAGCAGGTTGGTGGCAGGGACCCAGACCTTTGGAGGAGGAGGCTGAAGAGGGACCTGGAGCACACAGACCCCATTCAGCTTGGCTTGTTCTGGTTTACTGAGGCCCTCACTGGCCCTTCTCATGTCCTCCCTGACTGGGCTGCGTGGTGGTCCCGATGACAGCCCATCCCAGAGGCAGAGGCTGGTTCTCCCCGGCAATGGCAAAGTTCTGAGTGTCACCAGTACTGTTCGGAATTCAGCTCCCCCAGGTCTCAGGTGCTGGCAGCCCTGGGAGGACAGTCTTGCTTCTCCAGAAAGGGCGTCTCCTGGAGCACGTGGCCCTCCCTCCACCCCACTCCCAGCAGTCCTGGGGTGACAGCACGATTGAAGCATCTGCAGTGTCTGAACCAGGGCCACACTGGAGGCTGCTTGGGTGGTCTTCAGGGCAGGGTGCAGGGGCAGCCCAGAGAAGGAAGGAAAGGTCCTACTTGGGACGCAAGTGATGGTCAGCCCCTCAGTTTGAAGCATGGACTTCTAACCCTAAAGTACTGCCCATCTCAGCCAAGCTGGGGGCCCAGGCACTCGGTTGAGTCGGAGGCAGGAGACTCTTAGTGGCCACATCTTTGGCTTTGAGGGTCTTCTCTTTAGGCCCTGGGGCTTGGGAAGGTATAGCTGGTTTCCCACCACCCAGAGTTTAGGGGAGAAGACCCCCTTCCATGAACTCAGCCTCTGTCTCACCCCACCCTGTGCTACCCAGCAAGGACTAGCCAAGGTTTCCTTCTGAAAAGTGCACACAGGTCTCCTTTGATGAGCTCCGGGTCATCCCGCTCTAGCTACCCTTGTACGAACAGAAAGGAGAAGCGCCTCTGCCCTGCTGCTCCTGGGGACGTCGAGGAGGGCAGAGGAGCAGGAAAGGGTGGAGTTACCTCTTCTCAGGTCTATGTTTTCCATTGCCTCTTGCTCAGGAGGGTGCAGAAACTTTCTCTTTACAGCTGTCTGTGCAGGGAGCCCCGTGAGGAGGTGGTCTTCCGTGGCCTATTAATATGCCCCATGCATGTACCTTTGTCTCCTCAGACTGCAGGGGAGGAATGGGCCGGGGCTGGGGGGAGCAGCAGCAGCAGGAGCTCCTTGGAAGGGCAGCTGATGCAGAGTGGTGATGACCCCAGAGGGCCTTCGGGGCCTCTTTCTGCCTCCTCCCTTAGGCACATCGTCTCCATCTTGGCCCCAAAATGGGACCCCAGCATTTGGTCTCTGCTGGGGCTCCGGCCACCTCTCTCAAGACATGGGCTTGCCTGTATCCTCCATCCCATTCCAGGCTCCCTCAGCACTGCTGAGCCCCCCCAGTTCCATCTGGGCAGCAGGTCGGGCCCCCCCAATGCGGCCCATGGCTGGGGTGACAGATGTCTCCACTGGGGGCTTCTCAAAGTCTGTAGGAGGTAGTGGGGACGTCCAGGCCACCCTCCTGCCTCCCCCCGCCAGGCCCTCCCCTGGCCCCTCAACACGTTGCCAGCGGAGGCCTCAGGTCCCAGTCAGTGGTACTGGTTCTGGCCCTCCAGTTCCAGCCCTTCCTGGAACTGGGCTGAGTCTAGCTCCCCCGCAAAGCCCCTCAGACCACTCTCTTCTTCTCCCTCTTCCGGCTGGTTATTGATGGTGCCATAGGTGTGCCTGGCTGGGGAGGAGGCTGGGGTCAGGTTCAGCTCGGGTTCTTGCAGCACAGTGGCCACATAGAGCTGCTTGGGATAGAGACAGGAGACAGGAGGGAGGTCACATCCGGAGCAAGGCCCTAGGCACACCCTCTCCCCTCACGCCGACCCATCGCCTCTGTCTCCTCCAAACCTTGGAGCCTACCTTCTTCCCCCACAGCCTGGGTCCTGTCTGTCTCACCCGCCTACTTGTTCTTGATCGTTTAATGAGCATCTAGGCATTCCCAGGGCGGGTTTAGTGGTGGGACTCCCCACTCCTAGTCCGCTGCTCCTTTAGAACATGTTCATTCACTCTTGCATCCAAGTCAAGCTGCACCCAGGGGAGGGGACATGAGGCTCCCCTCCACTAGAGTCTGGAGACACCCCCTTTCCTGAACTAGTGCACTTTCTAATACAGCTCAGAGGCGCATTCAGAATGCCCTGGGATCTGTCGCTGTTGGCCTGTCCTCAGGGTGTGGAACTGCTAGCGGAGACTTTGGTCATGTAACCTATCCCACCCAGGAATGGTCTCCATGCCTGGAAGGGCAGCAGATTAGAGAAACACAGAAGTACTAGGAAAAAGAGCCATTGTCACCCTCTGAAGTGGCTCTTAAACCATCTCCTTACTTTGAAAATGGGTAATTAGGGAATGGAATGAAACCTTTCCCGTGGGAGTTTATTTCAGTGAAACCAAATGGCCCTGGTGGAAGGAACAGTTTTCCTACAAAAGAACCTAGACATTCGCATGGCACCCAAGTAAACCATTGAGATGGTCTTTTGGTCATAAAGGGGAAGACGTCAACTGAACAATGGAAAAATCCATCTGCCATTCCCCTAGTGAGAGGGTCATGTTGGCATC